AAGAGGGGCATTTTAGAAGCTAACAGATCTAGAAATTTTCTTTTTCCTTGAAATTTTCAGAGGCAAAAGAGGCTCTTGACCTGAAAAGAACATATACATCATACAGACTGAGGTGTAGGCGACCTGTATGTCATCTATCTTCATTTTCACCAAATTTTACAAATTAAATGTGCCTGATGAGTCCCTGCTTGGGGAAGCAGGGTGTTGCAGGCTGTTCTCCCTCATTTAGGATAATAAATCTAGCTCCTTCAGGACATAGATATTTATTTATTTCGTTTCTATCCCTGGCTACTCGCAGCTATTGTACTTTCTACTGTCATAAATACATAGAGTTTCTTTACAAAGGAAACAGGGAAACTTAACTTACTGGAAAATGTCTATTATTCTAGGCCGGGGTAGTGAATCTGTGGCATGTGTGTCACAAGTGGCATGGGCAATTTCTGGTTCGGGGGCAGGACAAGCAACATAGTGACAGGAAGATCAGGGAGCAAAGCAAAGCAGTAGATTGGGCAGGGAACACAGAGTAGGAAGCAGAAAACAGAGCAGCAGATTGAGGAGGGGAAGGGGATCAGAGTAGCACTCAAGGAGGGTGCAGGGCTCAATTGTGGCATGTTTGCCAGAAAGGTTGGCCCCAGTGATGTAGGTAAATCCTCAAATCCACCCTACTAAGCACAAGTTGTAATAACAATTAGAAGCCTTAAAAGAGGTTGTAGCCCTACCCCTTTTTCTCATTGGGAAAAATGAATGTCCGTTTGCTGGTGACTAGAATGAAATTCAGAGGATCCTGTGCCACAGGCATGTGCCTGTATTGATTATTGGCTATTATCAATAAACCTTCTAGTGAATGGTCTATGGGATACTTCCAAAACTATCTCAAACTGTTTAGGTCTTGAGGGCATGGCCACCCTCAGGCAGCCTGGGCTGACAGCTCTGGTTTTGCTTCCTAGGAGCCATAGTACAGGTAAGAACCACTGTGATAGATCTACAAACTTTCCTGCTTAAAAAAAGCATTATTCATGTTTCTGAACTCATGAGAGCACATAAGGAAAAATAATGCTGCACATACAGACAGAGGGAGAATATGTCATTTGGATTCCTCTGATCCCAGCCATGCTTCAAATAAAGGGATCTAGTAGATTCATTTAAGAACTAAAAATCTCCTATGATTTTGCTATAATAAATTTGTGAAGTTTGTATCTGTGGCTAGGTGGAATGGACTGAAAAATATCCACGAGAGACTGAGACAATCCTCAGACTTTAAGGGCAGGAAATAGATACCCAATTTTCACTCTCTTCTTTTTGTATTTACATAAATATAGGATCCATACATAGCTCTCACATTTTTTGTGATAACCTTGAGAATTTATAACAGCTACTCCATTTTTATCACCAGGAATAATAAAGAAAATGGGAATGTTGAGACAGACACACATGCTCACTCCTAATTATAGTACTCCCATTTTAGACCTTTTAAACTCCATTATCAATAGTTTACTAAGAAACAAATCATTGGAAACAGAACCTAAACCATAACCCTTGATTTAAGTGCTTTGGGCTTTTGGGACCTTTGGAAATCTGCAGCAAATCTCAACCTAACCTGAATTTTGCTGACTTGTGGCTAGGACTAATGGAAAACATTGGCTGTAAACCAGCAACTCCCAAAGGGTATGCCACATACACTATTGTGCTGACAATGTGCCAAAAAAAATGGACTGGATGGGACCCCAGGCAGGTCAACCCCATGCATTTGGAGGGGGCCACAGCAGGTCAGCCCCATGTACCTGGATCAGACCCACAGACCAGATCTGGCCTGCAGACCAATGAAGTGAAACGTGCTGCCAATTTTAATCTGGAAAAGGTGTGCCCCAGGCATAAAAAAAAATTAGGAAACACTAATCTAACTATTCCTAAGTGTTGAAAGCCAGATATGGACTTTCTGGTTTCAGCCAGTTTCTACATACAGCTTAACTGAGACCATGCTATATTCATGCGTTTGACCTGTGATTTCCCCTGGTTTTAAAATCTATCTTGGAAAGAGTCCCAGTCTACCACGCTTTGTAATGGTTACCATGTCTCCCTAGTCTGTTCTCTCTTATGGTCATGCCCTGTCCCAGCCCTCTCTGTTTCTCTGTGCCTCTCTGTGTTAACTGAACTTGCTGATCAGCCAGTTCAATCTATAGCAGGATTACTGAGCTCCAGCTATACAATGACTATTGAAAAAATACAAAGGGTTGGGAAACATGACTGTGATGTGCAGAAAGATGCAGAAAGTATGGATGAGTATGTGCTTCTAAATGAACTTGAGCTCCTAATGAAAGGCAGTGACTGAGGCCAAGGGACAATGCAATGTGCAGACAAAGGGCTTCTGACCTGCATATTTAAGGTCCATTAAGCTATCAGTGCTGTAATTACAGACAAGAAGTTCAGTCAGGTGACTTGTCAGGATGCCAAAAGATAATTATTAGATTTCCATTTTGCAGTCCCCACCACACACACACACATGTTCACACACCTTTTAAGGCCCTTTTGGTAGCTGATAGCTCTGCCTTCCTCCCCCACTTCCTCCCCTAATCTGATCACTTTACTCATTTGTCTTTCCATTGTATAGCAAATATCACTCATGGTAGCTCCACTGAATCAATAGAACTATACCATATTTGTACCACCATCCAGTTGTGACTCTTAAGGTAGAATACTTCTATCTGACCTTTGAAAGCAGTTTCTCTCTTACTCCCCTCACCTCAGTAATGTTATAGTATTATAATAATTATGACAAAGGGGGAAGAGAAATTCCACTGAAATTACTCAGCACTCATAGTACTCTCAGTCAACCAAGCTGGTATTATTAGTAATCGTAATAAGATCTGCTCTTTTCTCAAGTGCCTGCCTTCATGATCTTGAAGAACCAAACCTGAAATCATACCCACTGTTACAATTACTTACCAAACCAATAGCAGTCCTCCATGATGAGCAAAATCAACATGAGTGGAGCAGTACTACAGTGACCCAACTAGACCAGAAATCTGTGAATCACAGAACTGACGTTCCACCTTCTTCCTTGTTCATTGGTTCTTAAACTGTAGGTCATGATCCAGAGCCCCTACTTCTCATAACCCCATAATTACCCCATGTTCTTGTAACTAACAAGGGGCAGGGTTTTACCTTGGCTTCATTGCGCTGCAGTAATTGTGCTGTAATTACTCTGCACTAAGTGAGAACTAAACCCCTGGGCAATTTAGCCCAATTTCATTGATCTTGGACAATTTAGCCTGATTTCATTGACACTTGTGGAATAAAAGCAAGAACAGGCTTAGGAACTGCTGAGGTGGCCATCATAGAGGACATTCTGGTTTTCTGCTACTCTGTCCTCTATTGATAGGAAACCTGATACTTTTATGTCCTCTATTTTTGTCTTCAAGAGAAAAATAGAGGACATAAACATGTCCAGTTTTGTATCAATAGAGGGCAGAGGACAACCAGACTGTTCTCTATGATGGTCACCCTAGGTACTGCAGAGCAGCGAAGTGCAGTATGTCTCTGCCCCTTCTTAATTATGGGAAGACAAACAGCTACTGCTGTATAAGGTTGTGCAAAACTGTCAGTCTGTTAGTGGGGTCATTATGGGAAAACATTTTAATACCACTGCTCTAGAACATCTTCTTTAAGGAAAGGAGCTGCTAGGGCCCTTATGGAAACAGCTGTGACTGTGCTGATCTAAAGCCCCAGGCTTGGCTGAGCCACTCCAACTCCACCCAAGTGTACTGGGGGCTGGTTTAAGACCTACGAACATCCCAGTTACACAGGACATCAGTAATTCCTCAACATACACAAACTGCAGCTTCCAGCAATAGAAGGGCCTCAGTGACTCCATCATCTCCTGCTGAGCAATTCCACCAATGAGCCCTGATCAGCTGTGGTGATTGCCAAAATGTGGTAGTTCTATGAGATAATTAGGAACTCTCTCTCACTGAAATAGATCTGATTGTACTCTGTAATGTATGTGGCATACCTACAGCTGGCTTTCCTGGAGGAATGAAGACATTCCTAATACAAATCAGTTACAATTTATCTGACCAATACATTCAAGAGCTGCTTGGTGCCTATGAGCTTTTATGATAGCTCATAAAAACTTTGCGCCCACACCTCCAGAAGAACAAGAGGAATATGGCTGTCAATAGTTTGTGGACATGTGCTTCAGACATAACTAGACCAGAGGATGAGACATAGCTTTGTAGTGCGCAGGTTTGTTATTACCCTAAAATAAAATAGTTTTCTGATAAGCATACTGTTAGGTTTACAATAATTTAGATTATTAAAAAATATTAGCTTTACAGCTGAATACAAGGCATGACCTGTGGCCTAGCAATGCAGCTGACCACAAGGCAGATTGATAGCTAAGCCTTTGCTTGTGTCAAGTAATCATTTTAACTGTATTAAGCATTTTCTGAGTTAAAAAGTGGATCTGTGTCTGTGTGCTGAAAAATCAGCTACAGCAAAAAATAAGATAAGACAGGGAAACCATTGTTCTGGGTGCACTGGTTGTGTCCTTGAAAAGTATCTACTACTGTGTAAGGTTTTGCTAACATACTATAATGTTACTGTTACTTAACTTTTAGCTTTTAAAAAAGTGCTAGTTCAGCTTAATAGAAATATGCTGTTACAAAGATTTAAAAAACACCGCCCAAATATTGCTTTTTTTGTTAACCATAAAGTCTTGCCTTGTTATAATAAGTATAAAAGATCACCTCACCCTTAGGGGGGGCCATTTTGCCTTTTGCTGGCTTTATGGTCTTTGCTCGAGCAAATAAACAGCTGTCTTTCTTTACCCGCGTTGTCTGTCAATCAAATTACAGCTAGACAACGAACCTTAGGGAGGTTTCTCCCACAACAATTTGGCACCCCAGATGGGACCTGTCTAGCTTGGCGCCTTTGGAGACCTCCATCCCCCGACACCCCAGCGCGCACCAGGTGAGTTCACCTATTGGGTTAGTCTTGGGAGGTGGATGGTCCCCTCGGGACCAATAAGGCGAGATCCTCAAGTCGGGTAAAGGAACGGTACCGGCGAGTACCTCAGGTCAGGTATGATTTTGGTTTCTATCTGGTTTCTGGTTTTACCTCTAGAGGTCTCTGGAAGCAGTCTTTGAGGGTATCTGTCTGCTGATTTAAACGCTGTTAGAGCCAGCAGCCTAGC